TACTGCATGTGCTACATACCGCTTTTTTTCGTTAGGTACCCATAGTTTCATCTGAAGTCAGCAATGCATGTAAAAGTAGGAGAAGAAAGTTTTTGGAAGCACCTACCCATAAAGACAACTAATTATTCAATGGAGAAATGAATGCCCAGGGAGGCAAAAATGGAAATGTTCTTAATCATGGAGAAAACTAAAGTTAATGATCAACAAATTTTCTTGTTAAGCTCTATTCAAACAATCTTGAATTAGCAGGAGTAACAGTGAACTCAACTACTTAATCATATGATATTTATGAGATGTATAAAACTGAACAACACAACTACTTAATTATATGATATTTATGAGATGTACAAAACTGAATGAGAAGGAATGCTCCTTCCCTATGCTCATCTCTTCATCCTCCTATTTCACATTTACTAGTAGTCTCAAGCCCAGAAAGGCACATTTTAACACAAAGGACACTTATAATCACCGAAAACCATCACCCCTGTCCTTAAAAGTATTAACATCTTCATCATTTACCTGCTTCAATTCTGTGGCACCACTTTGACAAAGGTAGCCCCAGCAAGCATTCCTTACACGTTCCCCATGTATGCCATAATCTTGGCTCTCAGCAAATACCTGAATTACAAGTATAGATTGCTTTGGGAAAAAAACTTAAAGTATCATGCCACATTTAAAATGGTAGCACACACATCTCAAACCTGATATGCTAAGAAATTTGAAGTCCACAGTTCAGAAATGATGAAATCCGTGCATATAGCACACAAATCCTGCAAGAAAAGGCCAGACGTGTACCCAAATGCTCAAAAAAACGAAAGAAGCTGTTTAAAATTGAAAAAATACTGTAAAAACTGACACTGATGCAGAGAAGAATAATAGAAATACTGCTATTATTATCTAAAAACATCAATAGTTTTTATAGATCTTAACTTCTAATTAGTTTAGAATTCTAATACTAGATATTTAATTCGATCATGATTTATTGCCTAAGTAGTTATGAATTATTTCCTATTTAATTAGGGAATAGTATTAGTTGGTTTGTTAGTTTGTTTTAGTTTTTAGCAATCATTGTTATTTTTCTTTTTTTTTTTTTGCTAAAAAAGTACTATTAAGATTAAGAAACCTTCACAGAAGGTCTCTGAAACAAAATAACTATAAGTAATAAAACAGCCTGAACCTAAAATCGAAAACATTATCGCCCTCCAAATTCCTATGAAGTACAGAAATCGGAATATCTGGAAATTTTCCAAGCTTTTGCCCATAGGGAGACCAAAAACAGTCATTTTCTCCCATAAAGCTTCAAGCAGGAGGGTTTCATCTTCACAAAACTGATAATCTCATACCAACCATATCATCCATAAACTTGCAAACACAGCTCCTTGCAAAATTGAGGTTTAACTCTTTTTCTCACCCCTAAGCCATAAATGTCAGAGTTCATAAAGCACAACAGAGAAGGAGGTGCTATCCAGTTTAAACCAAAAGTACCAAACCCCTATACACAACTTCTAAGCCACTGTGCAAGTTATGTGTTTTGCCTCCTCTTCAACGCTTTACAAAAAATTTGAAGAAAGAGCTCAATTATGGTAGTAAAGGGTACATGTAGGTCCTATGGCTTCTTAGCAGTATGTTCAATTATAATAATTCTTCAATGAACTTGGAGACTGTTAAAAGATCACAGCCGAGTTTTATTTTTTCTAAATCCAAGGACATAACTCTTAAAGTCATGTCTTGAAGGTGAGGACCACATAGAGTTGATTTAGTTCGGCAGAAGAAGAGATGGGTGTTCTATAGAGTAGGAAAGAAATGTAGGAGAAACAAGAAAACTTCTCATCCCTAAAGGTATTCAAAGCTGAGGATCACATAGTGCCAAAAGATACCAGAGCTGATGTATGATGCCGGTTCCGATTTGCTGTAGATAAAGTTTGCGACTTAAGCATGGACAGATGGAAGGAGGAGTAGGTTCCTGTTGAACCATGAGAGACCACCAAAAGCAGTTCTTCAGTGCTTGGAAGTGCCAGACAAAGTGAGTGAAAATGCAATATTTGCTGTCTGGTTTTGATCACTGCCTGTCCTTCAGTTTTTAGTTATTGGGTGGTCAACAAGAGGGCATGGGCACCAAGGGGTGATATATCTTGATGCTGCAAAGACACCTTTGGCATTCAAAATCAAGGGTTTGTCCCCTAATCCCTCTTAGGGCTAGGCCTCAAAGGTGAGGCCAAAATCTCAGTCAGGTTAAGACCAGAGGCCCAGAGGACACTTTTTCTAAACAGTAAAGGGCCTTCTATCTGAAAAATAAAGGGACTTCAATGGCCAAAGAAGAGCAATGAATAGCAGAATGAGACCGAAAAGAAGAAATAGGGTTTCGATAGTAGTTCCATGAATAATCCCTTTTTCGAGCACAAACCAAGATCCGAAATAGGAAAAAAAAAAAAGAAGGATGAGAATAACCATTCTAGAACAATCATTTGGCCGATTCACTTTTCTGACTTTTTTTTTCTTTATTTCATCATAGGTAAGGTAAAGCGCTTTCTT